TTTGCAGCCTCCTGGCTGCAGTCAGCCCACGGAGCCCAGTCTGCCTGCAGCAGGGCTTGCTGCCTCCCAGCTGCCTGCTGGGAGCAGCCTGGGCTCCGTGGCTGGCAGCAGCTGCTTGGAGGCTGGAGGTGGTGTGCCAAGCAAAATGGCTTTGCGTGCCATGCTCAGCACGTGTGCCGGGGATTGCTGACCTCTGTTCTAAGGAATGAATAAGCTACCCTTAGGAAAAAACAGGGCATAAATATTTTTGTTGACCCTGGAGACTAATCATTACAGGAAGTTTGTTACATGTGTACATAAAATAAGCTGTTTTTTGGGGAATTTGGAGGATTCTGAAATTGTTATTTTTAATCAAGAAATGTCTGTTTAAAAAATTGTACAACTTGATAATGGGTTTCAAGACACATTGCTTCTCTGGTTAAAAAAAAGAAAAATATGTTTACTTTCCAGAAAATGGAAAGGGTTTTATTGTGATAACTGAAAAGGGCAGATTTAAATCAATAAAAGTATATGAGTATAACCACCATGCCAACATTCTTGTTCCTGTGTAAAAGTGTCTTCTTGCGTTAATTTATTAGTTGGGCAGGGTGTTAAATTAAACCACAAAGCAACTGCTCTCAGTGTCCACATAGGAGACCATACCGGTATAAATATATCGATCAACTCTCTGTAGACAAGCCTTCAAGTTTTGTGCTCTGATTTAACTAACGAGATTTAGAAACCAAAGTGGTAAAACCCTCTTGGTGTATACACTTTAATTTGTTTATAAATATCTTTAAATAGATTTAACTTAGATTTAATTTTAAAAGATTATATACACCTACTTAACTAAACTGGTTTAGGAACTGATTTAGGTAGATCAGTGCACAAACTTTGTATACAGCAGCCCTTGTGTTGCAGTGTTTCCACTTCCAATGCATAAAGGGAAAATTAACAAACAACTGGTTTAATTTGTTTTAAAGTAAACATTTCTAATGGTTTCAATTTTGTAAAAGCTTACCATTATAAAATAATTAAATTTGGGACTGAGTTCCTTTTGCTAATGTTCATTTAATTTTACAGTTAAATAAAAATGATTATAAAATAATTTTCCTTTTCTGAAGACGTAATCTTTCAGGATCCGCACTTCTGAATTTTAATTCCTTAAAATAAAACTGGGAGGACTCTCCTACTTCTGGAGTTAATTTTTTACAACTCCAACCTTTCCCCCTCCCTCCTTCCTATCTATCCAGGACAAGATGATAAACATAAGCACAGAATGACAGAAAAAACATCTGAAAAAAGGAAATTCCCAAACTCTGAAGATACTTGGGCAGATGACTGAGATCCTGCAAGGTGATCTATTCAAAGAAGCAGAATTACATATTGATTAATTATTTCTTACTGAAAAAATAACTCATCTGCCTCCTGGAATAAGATCAAGGGATGTCTCAGAAGCAAAATGAACATAAAGCCACAATAAGTAACAACAACAAGGCTACTGCCAACAATGTGACACAACATTCAGCATGAGACCCACATGCAAGTTTACAGAGTGAGACAGAAATTATAAGAAAATGCTGTGCAAGAATTGGCCAGAGGCTCAGAAAAAAACAGAGAAGACAGAAATTTCAAGTACCAAAATAGCAGTGTTGAGACATCAAGAATAAACTGAACACAAAATGCCACAGGAAATGCTGCAAAGTGCCTGAAGCAAAAGCCTCAAAAATTTAGATAATCAAGCAAGTTTGTTTAAAGGTCATAAATAAAGAATACCATAGTCATTTCACTGGAACATAGTGATGTGTTAGACCAAAAACCAACAGAATATACTCTTCCCCAAGCAACCCTAGACAAAAAATAACAGTAACATTTGGAAGGCAGCATTTACACTTGACAGGAATTCTGCATATGACAGCCTCTAGTATGCTTGGATTGCTCATTGCCATGCTGCTTGGGATGCACATGACCTAAGGAATTAAGGAACTCCATTGCGGGTTCCAAAGTAAGAAGCAAAGACTGAAACAAGATTCTTGATGAATGGGATCCTTAAGAAAGTATTACTATTATTAGAAAGTACAGTCAGAGCATTTTCTAGTACTATAACTCAAATACAGCTGGCCTGGTGCCATGCCCTAATATTGATTCTTGAATATTATATCTGTGTGCAGCAGCACTTACTCCTGCTGCTGGTGTCCTGCTATTGGTGATTGATCTGCCTAGAACAGGAGTTGTCAACGGGGGGTATGCATACCCCTAGGGGTACTTAGAAAGGTCATATGGGGTGTGCATGGGCGGGCGAGGATGGAGCGTGCCCCAGGGCACAATGGCGGTGTCCCCCCCAGTATGTTCCTACACATTGCCTCTTACCTGGCAGAGGGGGAGGGGCGCATGGGGCACCACCAGCCCCATGCAGCACACTGCGGCACCTCCCTGCTCCCCCAACAGCTCACTCTCCTGATTGGCTGCCAGGCCACCGCCCTTTGCTAATAGCCCACGGCAAGGAGGCGTCGCAGCCACCCCTGCCTACAGAGCCATGAGGGCAGCGAGGCACAAAGGGTCTCAATGACAGAGGTGGGGTGGGAGAGGAGTGTGTTTCTGTGCCCACTCCCAGAAGCAGGGCAGGGGGGCTGAGGGCAACAGCACCCCTCTGTGGACAGACTTGGGGTGGGAGGGCTCGTATGAAGCACCTGCCACAACCACCCAACACCCTGCACCGCCACCTCCTAGGAGCAGTGCCAACGGGGGATGAGGGCAATGGCTCCTCTCTGTGGGCTGCACAGGCACCATCCAGCCAGCCGGGGGGCTCTTGCACGGGGCAGCCGCCACCTTACACAGCCGCCACCACCCACTGCCCCATGTCGCTGCTGTGCACTGCTTTCCCACGACTGGTCGCACATGCGGGTCCGTGGGCTGCTGATGGGCAGCACAAAATTGGCTGGGTGTGAGGCCCGTCAGCAGCCCATGGAGCCACATGTGTGACCAGCTGTGGGAAAGTGGGCTGCGGTGGTGGCTGTGTGCGAGTTCCACCTCTCCCCTGCCCTGTGTCCAGCCGCCACCACCAGAAGGGGTACATTAGTTAAAAAAGGATAAAAACCCCTAGAATGTCAGGCAAGAGAGGGACCCTCAAGAAGAAAATGTAATTCTGTGTAAAACTACCTTCACCCTGTTATAGTCTCATGACTGTCACCAGTGAGGGATACCTTCTGTCACTGTTAAGGCTACTACTTTTTCTTTCCAACTCTGTGGGGCATGGTATTCATTAAACCTTCAGGGTTTCTTCTTCTCTTCTTCTCTTTGTTCTTCCTTTGAAAAGGTCATTCCACATCTCCTCTTCTGATATTGTCAACCACTTCTTCAAATGAAAGCTAGGGCAAACTGAGGCAGCCTGAATGTTCTCAAGTGACAACTGAAAATCCCAGCTGTTGCCCAGAACTTGATGGACAGAGCTGAGGGCCAATATCCACTTAAAACATTCAGATTCTATGATTGCAGGCTACTGGACAGATCACTCTTTTGTTTAAAAATATGAGGGGAGAAAGTCAGAGGTAAGACTCATGCAAATGCAGGTACTTAGCTTTCTAGGGTCATTAAAGTTTGTATTGCTGTTTCACTACTAAAATTTATTTGAGGACACCGAGTTCTCCCTGCTTTTCTTATGGCAGTCATGTCTAAGGATAGTATTAACTGTTGAAGAAATTGCTTCTTTTTTTCTTATTTATGAGAGGAACTGGGAGACCAGATGGCTGAGGCTGTTTAAATCTGCTGGGCAGCAAAGGATTAATGGAAAGAATGAATTAAACAGTTGCATCTCCCAAGCTCTGTTATTTTGTAACATTATAACAAAATTACTCTCTTAGTGGCCCATGAAGATCTTTATAAGATGGATATGTTTTATTCTGGGCTTTGATCAATAGTGATATTATTAATGTTGTCATGTAAAGCTGTTATGGCAGGGTGTCTCTGCAAGTTCAGTGCACATTTGAAAAGTTTTTGGTTTCTTTTAATGGAAGTATAGATTATGGTATATTAAAAACTCTGTTATTTTGTAACATTAAAACAAAATCATTCTCTTAGTGGCCCATGAAAATCGTTATAAGATGGACATGTCTTATTCTGGGTTTTGATCAATAGTGATATTATTAATGTTGTCGTGTAAAGCTGTTATCGCAGGGTGTCTCTGCAAATTCAGTTTCTTTTTAATGGAAGTATAGATTATGGCATATAAGATTGCAGCTATATATAAGTTAGTGGTTTGCTAAACCACAGTGTGATAAATGGGTTCAAGTGCATTGGTCAATGTGCCCCTGTAATATGTGTGATGTGTGGAAGACCCTTATTTAAATATCTTTTATCCTTGCTGGCATATTCCATCCCTAGAAACAGTAATAGTAAAACTGATCCTTCCCCAGCTAATGACTCATTGAAGACGGACATGTATTTGGAAGGAAAAGAATGAAATAGCAGTTGTGATAGGCACTAGAGGATGCTAGCTAGGAGTGGGGAGGGGCCACTTTTACTTTTCCCCCTCCCGGAAGCTATGTCTATTCAACGGACTTCTTGCAAAAAGAACAGGAAATAAAATGAAGAACTCTGAACAGGCTTCTGCCTTCTCTGATTATGCATTCAGGGGAAGATAGACATGTACTGGGCCATAACTGAAAGCTGTGGGAAAAAAAATGGAAGGTGCCAGGATATAGGCTGTCATAGGGATGTTGAGAGAAAACCACTATAATTACATAAAAGAAACATACAAAAGTCTCTGTTTCTGTTATATCTCTGTAGTTAATTTTTATGCTTTAATAAAAAGGTTAAAATGCACTTAAGACACTATTTTTCTGGCAATTTCAAAGGTATTCAGGACCTGGACAGATGATATCTTTTCTCTTTTTTAGATGCTCAAAAAATAGGTAATTTTCAGTGTCATTTTATTTATGTTATTTATAAAACAAATTACAAAAACATCAAAGTATAATTTAAAAGAGAAAACTAAAGAATTTCAAGTTGAACTTGAAGGCTTAGGGATATGACCAAGTACCTTCCTGAATATTCAAGGGTTGCACAAAGTACGAGAGAGACTAGGTAGCACAATGGAATGGCCTGTTAATTAATGGATGATCCCAGATTAGGCTAGATCTTTGGTCACTTGGACATTCAATATCACAACACACTTTTCACATGGCCTCAAAGATACTATTACTATTACTTGAATCATACAGTAGCAACCAGAGGGAAAAGCAATAAGGAGTTAATATAAATTAAAGCATTAATTAACTTCCAAATGGATAGGTTTTGAGTCTGTAGAACATGTTGCTCTACCTGTTCTTTGTTATATGCCCATGTAACCATGGAGATCTGACATCATGGATCTCTAGCAGAAGGATATTCTGCCTAGTAGGTTTAAAATTACAAACTTCTATCAATCAGTGAGAAATTGGGTTATGGCAGGGATTGGCAACCTATGGCCTGCAGGGTGGATCTGGTCTGTGGAAGTCCAGTCCCACGGAGGGGCAGCCCAATGCCTCCCATCCTCTCCCCAAAGCTCCCCTCTGCTGCAGTTTGCTGCTCCATGGTGTCTGAGCTTATCCTTGCTGCAGAGAGGTTGGATATCTGGCAACTGGCCACATAAACTAGGAAGAGGGCTGGAGACTTGTAGCCCAGCAATAGCCTGGTTGCAAGCTTCTGCCTACCCCATAAAAGCTTGCCAGCCCCTAGGTTATGGAAGTGTCTGGTGACTGGGACAGCAGCTGTACAGAAAGGAGAAGAATAGTGCAGGACAATATGAAGTGAATGAATATATATGAAGATGTTTTGTAGAATTTTGTTTGTGGAGTTAGTGAAATCTGCACCAAGTAACATATGTGCACCACTACTGAAGTCAGCATAGTTGTATGGTTGTAATCCGAGAACAGAATTTGGCCTTCAATCTATGTAGGTGGTAAATAAAAAGCGAAAGTTATAATTGTAACTGGAATTATTTTGTGAATATTGCTCCTAAAGGAAAAATCAGAGGCTGTGAAGAAGTCAGTTGAGGAGCAGTTAGTCTACATCCTATGCTGTCTTAAAAAAAACAGTTTATTTTAGACAGAAAAGCTGATGGAAGTTCATGTCCTTAACAATAATATACTTTTGCTCTTTCTCTTCAGTCTGTGACATGACATAGTAATGCAGTGCAAGGAATCTCATGGGAGTGGACTGACCACTGTAAAGAAGAGAGGGGGCAAGAAAGTGGCACTGGGATAGGTTTTCACATGAAACAATAGGCGAGAGTATGTGAGCCATACTCCCAGTCTTCTCCCCGTAACTCAAGACTCTCCTCTCAAAGAGAAAACAATGGTTTTCCATGGATTTTTCTATTTCTTTAGTCTGAGATTTATGAACATTTTTTCCTTCTTGTGTGTTTTTCTAAGGAAAACAACATTTGGCTTTGTGTGTTAGGACATTTCCTGGCACTCAGCACATGCTTAACGATACAAAATATTCCTGTGCTATTACTGATATGCGGCAATTTTGGCAATAAGCAGAACCTGGTATTCTATATCATCAAGTCTTCCAAAGAAAGTTAGAACTGTATCAAATCATACCAAAAAACAAATCACATGATATTTTCAGAAAGACTCCGAATATACGACTGATTTTTCATGTGTTCCCTGTATTATAAACTTTCTAGTAGTTATATCTGTTTCCCGAGTGTTTTAGTCCATAAGGTCTTACTGGTCTTTCCATGTTGTCCATTGGTTGAGTAGCACTCTGAAACATGTCAGGACTAGGAAATGCTGAGATGTCATATTTCTGTAAAGAGAATGAATTTAACATGTAAGATAGTAATTTAATAAGATTTTAATTTAGTAAGATATTTATTATTCTGTTTGTATTTATTTGTATTGTATTAACATAACAATGTATTTTTACACTATATGTCTCTTATGTCCCAGTTTCAGAAATTATGTTTTCAGTGTGAACACCTAGCTATTTACATTGCCTTGAGATTATTTTGATGTAAATTACTACAGGTTTGGGCCCTTTGTGCACTGGAGTTCAAACTGTTAGAGATAACAGAGTTATAGTACAATACATAGATTTTATCAGTTAGAACTATGGATAGCTGTATTTCTTTGATAGCGAAGCTACCAGTAAGTTAGTTATCCAAAATGTGTCCACAAAGGCTACAAACTGCACCATCATGAAGCATGTTCATGATGTAATTGTTGAAGCAAGTGCTATATGTTCTACTGGAAATCTAGGAGCCACTTTTTACCCTTCCTGATAAGCACCTTCCATTTTGGTCATTCAGGGCTGAGAAAGAGTTATATTGTTGAAATCACCTGTTGTGGGACTCAGGCCAGTGTAACTCTGGGGAGGAATTTTCATACTCGGGAAAGAAAGAATGTCTTCTTCTTTTAAAAAGACTTATCTTTTTAAAGTTACCAAGAGATTTGGAATGTAAGAATATTTTCTGTCAAGGTAGCACAGTGCATAGATGATATATTCAAAAGTATATGATAAATGCAAATTATCTCAAGGCTTCACAATTTCATCTATGTAACATGGTTTTACAAAATTACGCTACAGATTAGATCTTACCTTTCCCAGAACCAGAAAAACTAGTTTAACAGTAGGCAAGAAGCATCCTTAAACATAGCTGCTGCTCAAGAGAAAGAACACACTTTTCACTCTTTCATTACTTCTACCCATTTGCTATCATAGAAATATTAAATGCAGACCATACTTAAGAAAGAATACAAGCTTCTGAAGAGAGGAACGTTACGAACATAAAATGGTAGGAACACAATGTTGAATCATGGTAGAGAGCTCTCTAGATATGTACTTCATGTCAACCAAGAACATTCCTCTCATAGATTCTGATCCTAGAATTGTAGCCCTAGCAGTGGAAGGATGACCCTACTCTGACTTTGGTCTATATTCTCAATGAAAAGGCTAGATTGTGCAGCCATATTCATTTTGATGAAACTCAAATAACTTTTACTTATGATTAGTCCCATTAACTTCACCAGTAGGGCTAGGGATAGAAGTTACACATAAACTGGTTTAAGTAACCAGAAACTGGTTTAAACCTGTAACAGAACAGAAACTAAGTACACATAAACCAGTTTCAAAATGGCTGAAACGGGTTTAAGATAAACCTAGTTGAATGTAGCATGAGATTTAACTGATTTCAGTCAAATCAGTTTATGAAACTTCTGTCCCAGACCCCTTCCTGATTCTAGTTAAATCACTTGTCAGTGCAGAGGCAGAAAAGGATCTTGGAATCATTATTGATGCCAAAATGAACAGGGGCCGACAGTGTGGGGACGCGGTCAGGAAGGCCAACTGCACCTTGTCATGCATCCACAGATGCATCTCAAGCAGGTCCAAGGAGGTGATCCTCCCCCTCTACGCAGCACTGGTCCACGCCACAGTTGAAGTACTGCGTCCAGTTCTGGGTGCCGCACTTCAGGAGGGATGTGGACAGCATTGAGAGGGTCCAGAAGAGGGCCACCCGCATGATCGGGGGCAGCAGGGCAGGCCCTACGAGGAGAGGCTAAAGGACCTGAACCTGTTCAGCCTCCACAAGAGAAGGCTGAGGGGGGATCTAGTGGCCTGTTACAAACTAGTCAGGGGGGGCCAGCAGGCACTGGGGGAGTCCCTGTTCCCTCGAGCACTACCAGGAGTGACTAGAAATAAAGGTCACAAGCTGGCAGAGGGGAGATTAGACTAGACATCAGGAGGCGCTACTTCACTGTCAGGGCGGCTAGGATCTGGAACCAACTTCCAAGAGAAGTGGTGCTGGCTCCTACCCTGGGGGGCTTTAAGAGGAGGCTAGACGAACACCTTGCTGGGGTCGTTTGACCCCAGTGCTCTTTCCTGCCATGGCAGGGGGTCGGACTGGATGATCTGTCAAGGTCCCTTCCGACCCTACAAACTATGAAACAGTCCCCCAGCATCCTAGCATACTTTCCACCCCTGGGCTGGGTGTCATCTGTCCCCCCCACCCGGCAAACTCCAGCTGGGGTCTGAGGCCAGGGAGGGAGATTAAACTCACCTTCCCCTGAGTACAGAGCTGCCCTGCTGCTAAACTTACTGAAACTTACTGCTGGCTGCGACTGTGGACTACAAATCCCAGAGGCACCTGGAAGTAGGAAGAGGAAGTGATGAGCAACCCTGGAGAGTCCTGTTGCTGTGATTCTGGACTGCAAGTCCCAGAGACCTCAGGGGCAGCAGGAAGAGGAAGCGAACACACAGCCCATGCTGGCTGGGTGCCAGAGCGATATGCTCTAGTGCCCCCTGGCTTCTGGCCTGATGCACTGTAGGCATGTGGCTGCATCCCCTGAATCAAAAGCAAGTGTGTATCCAATTGTTTCTCAGTTTAATATCTGCAGTTTAGACTAACCTGCGAAGACTGAATCAATTCAGGCCCAGGTTTTTTGACTGTACGTAGCCTAGGTAAAACTCATCCATGTACAGAGAGCCCACAAAGGGCCTAAATCCTCAAAAAGAGATTTACACAATATAGCCTAAAGCAAGCAAATCTGAGGTTTCTGTGATAAAGCCCAGGAAAGTTAGAGATGTGGCAGACCTGTAGTCAGTAAACGCATTTTCCAAATAAATACTGTTCTAGCTTATACGTAGAAGTGCAAGTTATGACAGCTTGCTTTCAGTGCACACATTATTATGTAGTTAATCTTTGTGTTTGAGGTTGTTAATACATACTGGAAATTGTCTGGTGGGCATAGCTGGAACTGGATTTTCCTCTTCATAATCCACATAAGGAATATTACTGCCTGGGTAGGCAAACTGATTATGCTGAGGATATTGGTGGCTGAAAGAATGATCTGCTCCTGAAACTGGCCCTCGCAATGGCTGATGGAAGAGAGTGCTATCAAAATGAAATAAACAGGGCTTTAAAAATGTAGCTAAAATAAAAAGAAAATTATATGAAATGTTGGGCATTTTATAACATTATTTTTAGAAAAATAGAAACAGTCACATAGTTTTCGTATGTTTTAAGTCACAGCAATCACTAGATTAATTTTTTTTTTAACCATTTCACTTTACTCTTAGGCTCCAGTCCTACCAATACTTGACCATGTGAGTTAATTTAGGCATATGAATAATTCTCCCCGACTGTGAGGTTACTTAGATCAGAGAATCTGGTTCTAAATACATGCACAATGAACTGAGCACAACGCAGCACCAATTCCAGTTTGGGCCCAACATAATATAAATGATGATTTATTAACAATATTTTAAACCCGTATAGTCATAAATTTATTTTTACTAAAATGTATATTATTAAATATGGCTAAAATCAGAACAAATGTGAAATCAGAGCAGGAAATACTAACCAAAGCTAGAGAACCCAAACCTTTCTGTATTCTACTTATTTGCTATTAGAATGGAACATTACTTCCACCCATTTGCCATTTGAACTAAATATATGATATTTATTTTTATATTATAATCAATTTCAATTATATTGTATTATCTTTTGAATTATATTAAAAATAACTTTCCTATGGACCTTTTCTAACTTAACATACCAGTAATTTCTTTTATAAAGTTATGAAGCATACTTTCTTCTAGAACACAGTAACCTTTTAAAATCTAGGCCAATATGAGATTTCTGATAGCAACAGGGAGGGTTAGGAGGTGTTGTAAGCCTCCATGATATAAAACATATTTCAAATAAATCACACAATATGTATATACTGCAAGTGTGGCTTATAAAGTTGCAGAATGTTTGTACTTGAAAGCCTTCCACTTCTTCTCTTAAACCATTGCTATCCAACTTCTTAATGGCCACATACCCTGCCACACTAGTGGAGACTGCAAGCTGTGATGGCCCCATGCTGCAGGGACCAAACCAGGCTCTGTAGGCACTCCTCTGCCACACAGCATGCAGACACTCCCTACTCCCTCCTGCATCAGGTCTACCAGGATACTCTACCCTCCACTGCACTATGCCTGTGAGCAGAGCTGGCCTTAGGGGTGGGTGACATGGGTGGCCAAGGGTGCCTTCGTCAGGGGGACACCAGGGAGGGCATTAGGGGAGTGCCATAAACACACAAACACCAGCACTTTACCCCTGCCCTGCCCTAGCCGATCTTCGGCCCCAGCTGCTGCTCAGGAGCAGCCAGGATGGACAGTGCAGGTATCTGCAGAAGCATATTCCTCACCCCACCATGATGGTGCCATGGAGATATCCACAGCACTGGGGACAGATCAAGCTAGGGATGAGGGCCACCTGCATGAGCAGCTATGAGTGCAAGGTATGGTGCCGTGTGCAATAGTGTAGTAGCATGTGCATAAGCATTTGATTGGACAGGACATGGTCCGAGCAAGTGTTTGATAACATTTTATGATAAGAATTGTTGCAGCCTGCATGAGGTAAGTGAAAATTTGATAGGAGAGTATATGAGCTGAGTGTGTGCTTGATACAAAACTTGATGTTGTAAGTAAGGCCAGAGCATGAAGTGACTGGATGAGTAAGAAGGGGTGATTTTGGGGTAAAACAGTCCGAGTTTAGCTTGAATATGGGAGTAGGAGGGGGTTTCTGCTCCAGAGAGAGAGTCTCTGGTGCGTGAAGTGTGCTGATTCTGTTGCTGTCCTTGGTGGTAATGAGGTGAACTCTTGGAGAATTGAACTTGGATACAGTCCTTCTCTAACTGAGCCCTTGGTAATTTCTCTGCATGACATCTCTGCAGCTGTAGGAACCATAGCCTGTGGTAAAGTATCACTCTGACCCTAATGCCAGAACAGAGGACTTAGCCTCTGCTTTCTTTTGGGGAAGCCCAGAGAAAGTAAAGCTAAGGATCTGGAAGTCAGGGAGTATAGTATGCATTTGCCTCAGTCTGTGAGGAGTCCTGAGGACCCATCTTTGTCACCCCAGATTAGTTGATATCTTGCGGTCCTTTCCAGCCCTATTTCTATTCTTCTGATAAAAGAAAAGAACAAAAGAAAATTAAATAAAATAGAAAAGTTTAAAATATTAAGCTGGTAAAAATAAATATTCTTCTACATACAAAACAACATTAAAATAAGGAATTTTTTAGTGCTAGATGCCACTTAGGCCCTAGCTTAGAATGATTCAGTGACGCACTGGACATTTATAGACTGCAAGTGTAAAAGAATAGTCAATGTTACACCAGTTGGAAGAGAAATACATCTGCAAATTTCAAAGCAGATGTCCACCATGGAGAAATTATGAAAAAAACTTCTCCAATTAAGAGGGTTTTTCCCCCAGAATTTTGCACTATAAGATTTCCAGCATCTTTTGAAATATCTCGTCCTGGCTATTGCTATAATTTGATCCTGTTTGTCATTACCTATGTCACTGGCAGGAGAATCGCTATATAAACTTTACCCTTTAAACCAAGGATCAAATATTTAGAGAAAATGAAAAAAAAGATGACAAAACACAGCATACCTGTGACCTTCTACTCGACCTGGTGCCTGAGGTTGGCCAAAGCTTTTATTTTTCAACATAACTTTTGGTATTTGCACACTTTGTGTGGTGAGGTCACCCTGCATATGAAAGATCAGAAGCCAAGATTTTACACAGCAAGTCAACAAATGGTATAAAGTAGCTCATTAAGTACAGCTTGTTAGAGGTTCACTTGTTTTAAAAAGCTGATGGTTTAGTTGGATTTTTTCTTATCAATTCATTTACAAATATAAACTTTATTTTCGTCTATTTGTTGTAAAGTTAGTATATCATCAGAATGACTTGAAACATTCATATTTTAATAAGTTTAAATTCCACATAACAAAAATGCTCCGTGGGTCTGATCATCCTCACCTGCTACTTTTTCAGTGGAGTTGCTTCTGATTCACATCCAGTGTGAAGACAGAATAATCAAACCCATTGAAATGACTGCTAGCCAGAGATGTGGGGTGGAAAATTTTCCAGTGCTTTATTTTTCCATGGGAAATTTTCCATTTCTAAAAATTGTTTCATAACATTCATTAGTAACAATGAATGGATGCCAATACAATATTAGGCAATCCTGGCAGTTTCAAAGTTGTAATTAATGTTTTTCAGGTGATTGTCCCTAGTGTGTGAGAGAGTACACATTTTATTGATTTGTAAACAGGAGGGTAAATATACTCACATAATAATCCATACCAAAAATCAAATTATTAATTCATCTAATTGTCTGTGCAAGTTAAATAAAAACCAAAGCATGGCATTCCATGCAGTTTTTTGGGTATGTTAAAATTAGTGTCAACAGTTTTCAGTGCCTTCATTTTTTTGGTTTTTAAAATTTAAACAAACAATTTAAGGGAAGTATATGCTATCATGTATTATCTTTACATGTTTACAAGTATTCCAATAAAAATAATTTCTTTCCACATAAAGATTTGAATTTGTTTGCATATAACATTTAAACCACATTAAGAGTGCTGTATTTAATTTTTATCCTAATCAAATATTTCAGTTCAAGCCCTTGTGGCTATTGGGACATAAACTTAACATGGGGGTACTTTTTTAGTTTTGTTAATTAAATATAAGTCAAATAAGTATTCTAAATCAGATCATGCTCTATTTAGGGCATTGGAAAATTTTCCGGAATATTTTCCAATTCAAAATTTTCTGGAAAACCCACATCTCTGCTGATAGCTAAGGTGATTTAAATGTTTTCCCAAAGATTTGTTTTCCCCCTGCACAATATTAGGGAAGGTTTAATAGATGCAAGCAATCATAGAGAGTAGTACTTCATCCACCAGGCCAGTCTCAATTGCATGTCACTCAATGGTGCCATTAACTATGGCCGCTAAGACAAGAGGTGTCAGAGGTCCAGCTACAAGAATGAGACCCTATCCCACATTTTTTGTGGCTGAAAGACTCACATGAGAGCATGGCAACTCTGTCACAATACTGTGCAGGACTGGCTGGTGAAGGCTCTCTCTGTGTTGGTCAGGACGGTACCTATGAACAATACTGGCCCAGGTTGTGACAGCCAGCTACATCCAGACATTGTTGTAATAGATGAGGACAACTAAAAGATCCTGATGATCAATGTGACCATCCCATTTGAGAACTGGTGACATGCTTTTGTCAAATCCTAGGAGTGAAAGCTGTCCAAAAACAGACCACTGGCTGATACCCTGACAGAGAAGGGGCATGATGTGACGGTGCAGGCACTGATCATGGGAACTTTGAGCTTGGGACCCAAGCAATGAGAGCATCCTGGGAGCCTGCAGAGTACCCCACCACTACTTGAAACTGATGGTATCCTATACTACCTGATGTTCAAGGGTCATCTATGTCTAGCACATTATGGGACATTGCTAGTATGAAGCCAGCTGGCTGAGACCACCCACCAAAAACAATACCCAGGAGATAAACTGATACCCCTCCCCCACGAGACATACTATAGGCTTACTAGGGGTTAATGCCTTTGAATATTACCTACCCCAACAATTGTACATGGCCTGTTAAAACTGTGGTCTAAGAATGTCTTACAACTCACAACTCTAACCAATGTGCAAAGTTTTGTCTTTCTACTTTCCGTAGTGTCACAGTGGACCTTCTTAATCCCTTTACCTCAGACTAATGTAGGCTGCATGATTAAATGCAGGTTTTAGATTGCGTTAATATAAACCAACTATGTACCTATGTAGCTACTATGAGCAGGGTCCTATATTGTCTTCCAACTCTACAGAGCCACATAATAAACTACCATTTTTAACACCATCTTGTTTTGGCAAGAGCTCTTTCCTGAAAATGAGACTGTCAAAGCAGGCAGCATTTTTTATGCAGCAGAAATGGGAACATCCTGAAGAATAAAAACAAGTACTCTGTATTGCCAACCCAGCTAATAAAATGTATTTCTTCTTCAAGAACAATTCAGGAATAACAGTAAGTACTGTACTTAGTTTAACAACTTAGCATCTAGAGGGAAGGGCACTGATACAGCTCCCTCCCAGTATCCATAGGTGATTAGTTATTAGCATTTTGTCAAGTCCAGTGTTGTCCAGTGCATGAAAGCCCCTGAGATCTGGTTTCCTTATTCAGGCAAAAAATCATACTGATTACAGTTCCATCATTTCTTCAACTTTTTTAAATGTATGACAACTGCCGATACTGTGTTTATCAGAGTGCTTCTAGCAGCATCACCAGAAATACCACTAAGGGCATCCAGCAGAACACAAATCAATAGCAGACTCTCCTATGCTGAAGAAGGGTGTTTGTGCCCGAAAGCTTGCAAAGAACAATTTTTCCAACTATTTAGTTGATCTAATAAAAGATATCACATTTACCCAAAGAACCCTGTCAACCAAGGGCATAGTTATTTGGGCTCCTTTAATTTGCAACTGTGTGTAATGGTCAAGGAAAGTTGTTACCTTGGAGGGTGTTGGAAACTGTCAGGAAGCATATCCTTGATCTCTGGTTAATCACAGACCTCCCTGTGAAGCCTCTGGGCATGTTAGACCATTCATTATGCATAAACAGAAGAAGTAATTAAGCTCCTTTATGGATTTAGATAGTTGCAAGAATGGATGTCACCAGCTTGGGAGACCTCAGCAAGAATTAACTGAGAGAGAGATGTGGCACGTCTGCCCTGCAAACTTACCCCACAGGCCAAGCAGCACAATGCTCTGTGCAGGAGATCTCTTGAAACAGAAGCAGCATTGCTGGCTGTGTTCATGTGGGCTAATTAGTACTGATTCTCAGCAATCCTGATTAGTTTGTCTGAAAGCAACAATACTGCTTTTTTGGTTCAGGATGGTCTATATGGCATATGTTTGAAATCACTACTGCATGGTAAGCCTGTATGAAGACATACATGCCCATGGAGATGTGACTGCAAATGCAAAAGCTGGGATATTTACATTCTGTGGATGTCTGTGTCAAAGCTGTGAAGCCCCCAGCCAACAGCCAAAAAGAAAGCTAGAGGAACACTGGAGGTAAGGCACTGAGTGGAAGCCAAGAAAGAATAAGTCTCTTTGGGCAAAGTGCAGCCTGGAAAGTCAGGATTGGAAACTGAGGAAGAAAACATCCTGCTGATTTGTTCTTACCATGCCCATGAGAAGTCTCCAGCTAGCATCTTCTTCAGGGCACTTTTATGATTTTATAGTTTGCACAGCTGGGTTGGTACAACAGAGCTATAGCACAGGCTAGTATTTGGTCCTTGTTTGCTACAACATAATAACAATAGCAACAGCTATCTTATTGCATTTTTTTGTTTTAGAAATTGACAATTTGAAGTATTTCATTGCCAGATTTCACCATGCAGATGAGTTGGACCTAATCCTGCAGTCCTTAGTGTAGTAACTCTTTGTAGAGCAGCTACTGTGCATCTTATATGAGTACAGGGTGCATAATTAATTTCCTAATTTTAGCACTTAAACTGTACTTGTAACTGGTAGATAGATCACTCAGTATGTCAGTAAGAGACAAGTGAAACAACCATACTAAACTACCTAGGCAGACAAGGTTCTTTGGGTGAATCTGATATCTTTTATTAGACCAACTTAAATAGTTGCAAAACAATTTTTAAGCAAGCTTTCGGGTTCAAAAACCCAGATGAGCCTATGAACCCCACTTCATCAACCTCCTGGATACTAAAAATCATGGACTAAATATAGACATTGGATTTATGACACATTATAACCTGCCTGACATCTGACTACCCAGGTACTTCTCCACTATCCCCCCCCTCCTCCCCCCGCCACCCAGCCTGTCTCTCACCCATTGACTCTTCAATCTACATCTTCACTGACTGCTTATCTTGTATGCATACCGGCCCAGCCCCTGGCTTCTTTACTTTTTATTCCATCCAGGAAGAGCGCACACCAACTGCTGAAACTTCCTCAGCCTGATGAAGGGTTTTTGAACAGGAAAACATGCTTAAAAATTGTTTTCAACTATTTAAGTTGGTCTAATAAAAGATATCAGATTCACCCAAAGAACCTTGTCTGCCTGTCCTTAGACCAACACAGCAACATACTAAACTACAAAGTTTTATCATTATAAACTAAACTAAACAGCACCACCTACTGGTTAAAATATAAAAATGCATGAGGCATAGGTTTAAGTGTCAAGATTAATGTTTTTCAGGTTAAAATATATATTTCATAGATTTCATAGACATCAGGGCTGGAAGGGACCTCGGAAGATCATCGAGTCCAGCCCCCCGCCCAAAGGGCAGGAAGTCAGCTGGGGTCATAGGATCCCAGCAAGATAAGCATCCAGTTTCATCTTGAAGGTGTTCAATGAAGGCGCTTGAACCACCTCCAGTGGCAGGCTGTTCCAGACCTTGGGGGCTCGGACAGTAAAGAAATTCTTCCTTATGTCCAGCTATGTCTAGCCTGAAACGATCTTGAAGTAGTTTGTGACCATTCGACCTCGTCATCCCTTGGGGCGCTCTGGTGAACAAACGTTCCCCCAGATGCTGGTAGTCACCCCTAATAAACTTGTAGGTGGCCATCAGATCACCCCTGAGCCTGCGCTTTTTCAGGCTAAAGAGCCCCAGGGCTCTCAGCCTGTCATCTTAGGGTCTGCTTCCCTGACCTCTGAT